AAATAGAATTAATATTTGCATGGTACACACGTGATGACGTTTTCAGATATTGATTATAATTCTCTCGATAGTCGTACAAATTACGACCTTGCATTTTAGGGAAAATGAGTAATAATTGGAATATATACATACATGCACAGCGATGATCGGATTAATGAGATGGTCGGCTTATATTCAAATCTTTTAAACGAAATATTACAACTGCAACTGGCTTAACAAATTTTTCTAGTCTATTTTTATTTCGCGCGAAGGCTACTGGAAAGAAAGTCAAGAGTTAATTTAATTTATTCCTAAATTTTTTATCAGTCTTCTTATCTGTATCAGCCTTTTTCTTTAATATGGTTATAATGTTTCTTTTTCGAGTACAAAACGAGAGAGAGAGAGTATAAATATTATTCAAATATATTATTCAAATATGTTTATTGCACATTAAACTGAACGTGATATTTGCATCGTTTAAATACTGACGAAATTAATTATTCTGAAATTGAGCTTAGTCATTCTAAAATTGAAAGATTTAAGCTAATTCTTCCGTCTTAATAAAAATATCGATTCTAGCAATTAAAACATTTATTTGTTGAAATAAATATTATTTAAAGTAATGATATGGGGGCGACAGTTGAAGTTGCTAAACGCTAAAGAATCGAGATGCGGAAGGAAGAGGAGGACGTATTTGCGCAAAATTTAAGGAGTCGCGCTCGCACAGTCGACTGGTTTTGCGGGTTGCGAAATTAGAATGTGTCCCGGTTATTACGAGCGGCCGCGAAGAATTAGCATATAGTAGCGCTCGCGTATACGTGGTCAGACGTGTTGCGCGACACAAGAAGAAGGCTTTCGCGCTAATCTCCGGTATGGCACTAAATGAGGTGGTGGATTTGTTGGAAAGAGCTTATACTTACCGGGGACACAGAGAGAACGCGCGGAAAATATGGCCCGGAGAGAGTAGGTGGCGAGTGTGTGGCTTCTGCTCGTGAAACTCCAAAGCTCGTATCCACACGTGGACTAACAACAATGGGATGATCCTGCCGGGATTACGCGATCCGACACGACGGGGGAGGCCTGTAGAGGTATCGTTGTTACTGCTTTTCCGGTGTTACGATACCCGGCGCGTGGTTTAACAATCGTGCGTCTAGCGAGACGTTTCGGTGGCGATCGCGTTGGAAAGCTGCAAGCTACTATTTCGGGCATTAAGGATTTCCGCTTACGAAAATTTGAATAAGCGCTCCAAAGTCATCTCGATAGCGATGCAAAATGTAATCAGCGTTAACGCGAGATGTTTGCATGATAATCAAGATTATCAACAAAGAGACGATAAATGATCTTTTTAAAAAAATTTATACGTTTCATCTCATCTTTTAATTTTATATTTGGAATAGCGTTATTTGATTTTTATTTCCTGTTTGCGTGAAATGTTATCAATTGTAGAAACATAATGATAACTTGTTTCCGTTAATTTTTTCATTGCTTTTTATAAGTAGACTGTACTTTTTACAAATCCGTCCCAACTTTTAATTAAAGATAAGAAATGCAAGTTGCGCGGCGCGATCTTGTTTTACAGTCGGGATCGCGTCAGTAAAACAGTTAGTTGAACGAACCGTTACGAAACGTTTCCGCGATTTCGAGGTGAAGCCGCACGCATGACCGAGCGGCTGGTGGAGGCGCCGGGCGATTTAGTAGTCGACGTTATACCGGTAATAGATACAGAGGGAGACAGAGGCGAAGAGGACGGGAGGATGGAAGAGAGAGCACGGAGCCGAGCGTGGAGGTAGGTACACAGAGAGAGAGCCGGGTGGTGACGTTGACTAATGATGGTGGTGAGAGAACACACTCCAGTCTAACCCGACCTGTTGCACCCCCAATAAACCCCGTCAAACGACGTGCCGCTAAATAGAATCGCGCCGCGTCTTTCGACCCCTTGACTGATTCACCCTGACATTCCGGAACGCGAATCCGAAACTGGAGCAGAGAGTCACGAAGATACTCTCGCTGGCTGATTAAAATTTTGATCGCGTTCCACCCGACGCCGAATTTACATTATAAGGGCGCAGAAAACTTTCTTGGACGCCTACTCAGATATATTCCTCGTTTTTTAAACAGCCGTTTATTCAAGGAACGCGAAATATTCTCGACTCGTATAGCAAGTAATTGAACGTAAAAATGTGTATGCCTTCCTCGCTTGTATCTGCCTAATCGCAAATTTAGTTTTCAAGAATAATTTATCTAATACGTTTTAAAACATTTGCAATTTTTTAAAAATATCTGATTTTATATGTATGAATCTAATAATCATGCAGCATAAACACTTTTCATTATTTATATCTATGTAACTTATCGAAGTAGAACAAAAATTATGAAAACAAAATAAAACTTAAAAATTGTTGAAATTAAAAAGAAATTCCACCAAATCGATAAGAAATCTCTCTCAAAATTAAGACTAAAATTAAAATTATGTAAAAAAATAAAATTTGTTTAAATTTGTTATTTATCAAGATTTCTCTTTTCATAGTCTTTAATTTGCTAAATCATCTTTGTAATTCTCAACATCTGTCATCTATACAAATGTCCGATGCTGAAACATTTTACGCATTTCTCGTGTATTTTCCTTCAACGACGAGCAACAAGACCGATATCTTTTCGAGCGATCCTACGGCATTCGTGATTCACGGCAAATGCCATGATAACTTGTCGGCATCCTCGATTCCCTTTTACTTTCCGCAAAAGCTGGGGGCAGACGCGACGAATGCTCGTCGCAAGACGAGCGAACGCGGTGACGTGGAAAATTGTCCGATTATTCGCGGTTAGATAAAGAGCTTCTTCGGGGGTGGCGGTAAACTTGCGAGGGGGGTAGGCGGGAACGGAGGGAACGAGGGAACGTTGGCGGCGGCATCGGACTGGCTCGTGACACCGCGTACCGGGAGTGGCGGTCGCAGTCGGTGCTAGAAGGTCGTATCGGATGAAAAGCCGAGCCGACGGACTCTCATTCTCGAAGGACGGGCCTGGACGCACCCTCAAGCACCCTCCAACGCGGATTCAATCCCGGAGATCCACGAAATAATCATCCAGCGCTAGTTCATCCCTTCGCTTGCAGAAGTCTCTTGCGGATGGTTCCGTCCAGAACGTCTGGCCAGAACGAGACGTCTGTCGCTCTTTCTTCCCTTTCTTCTCCACTACATCCCCTAGCACCTCTCTCTCTCTCTCTCTCTCTCTCTCTCTTCTTCGCTCGCCTTTCTCTTATTATCCGCGTAGGACTCGTCAATTCTGAGATAAAACGGTGATATCGAGCGCGCAGATCGCATTGTCGACTCCGTCCTGGATCTTGCGCGAAGGACGTGGCTCTTCATCCTCGATATCGCATGTACGAATTTTCCGACGTTAAGATTCTTTAATTTCTAATTTCGCCGCGAGTGGATTAATTGCTGTATTTGGGGAATTAAAAGCAAAATGTATAATTGGTTGGCTATTAACAATATGAACTCACTGACTTCCTCAAAAAGACATTTTGACTCGATTCATACCTAAACAATTAATTACGCGAAATTTAATTGCGCTTACATGAGCGTTGAATATAACGCAACAATCTAATTAACTCTAATCTAATTAAAATTCGCGCTATTAGAATTCCACCTCACTGACGCCGAAAATTGCCAATGAGAAAGACATTCCGACTCCCAAAGCGAGTCAAAGGGAGCGCTCGCGCAAACACGCCTCGCACACGTTCAATATACCATCGCGGGCTATCGAATCGTCCGAATCCAAATAACATCGATAAATATTCCTCGCCTTTCTCCCTCTCTTTTTCGTTTTCTCGATCACTCGGATACTCCCCGAACGTCATTTCGCCGACTCGTATTCAAAAAGAGAAGGGCCGATCTAGATACGAGAAACGTAAAGGGAATACCGGAGTCGCCCCGGAGATTCTTTCGCTCGTGCACGGTCTTTTTTAAGAAAAAGACCGTGGCAGTCCCTGCACGAGGCATCCCTCCGCCTGTGCTTTTCTCCGCGGATTTTCGCGAGGCCACCGTGTTCGATTCTACGAGCGCCGGGGGAGCGGCGTGACGGTACGCGATGCGCATTTCGAATCGCCGCGACGCGCCGCGAGACGCTCGGCCTCGTGTACTTACTTGCCAGGTACGTGTACTACCTTGTTTACCACGCGGTCTTACACACCCTCCTTGCCGCATGGCGCCATTGTTCTGAAAATCAAGAAATGTGTCACCGGCAGCGAGGGTAAAAAGCTCCGGGAGCCGGGAGCCGTCGTGGCGTTGTCAAGCCCAGGAGAACGTTACTCTCCTTTCTTCCTCCCCTTCCTCTCCTCACTCATTCTCCTTACTCTCTCTCTCTCTCTCTCTTTCCGTTTCTCTTTCCCTATCCTCTCTCATCCGCTCGCGCACCCGACCGAAGGAGCCAACCCGTGCCCGGTTAACGTTTGAACGGTAAATTATCTTGAGGACTTAAGCCCGCGTTAGTCTAATGCCGAGATCCCGGCGACTCGTCCTCCTCGGAATCTTAATTCCGTACCGCGCTTCCTCGACCGCACGTTGCAATATTATTCGCGCCTTGCTTGGTCTTTCGGGGCTTATTTTCGTGCATCTATACATGTGCCGTCAAAAATCTCACGATATCAATGTTTATTATAAATTTCGTGATGGAAAGAAACGAAAAGAAAGTACGAAAAAGTACTTTCAATAAGAAGGTATAACGTGTATAAGTTATAATAATTTATAATTATAGTATAATAATTATAATATAAATTCAATGATTAAACTTGCTTTTTTAATATTATATTTACAACGACTTGTAAAAATAGATTTAATCGATACGTATCTGATATTTTCAACATAATGCGTAATAATAAATTACGAAGTTACGCTCGAGTTAAGTCCCTTTGTTTTTTATTTATATACATATTTTTTTTAAATTTTAGAGTGTAATTTTGAGTCTGCCCCCCCAATATGAAAATTTTATACATCGTATATAATAAAAATTTATTTAAGACTCACCGGTACGATGCGCAATAGCAGAGTTGTAGTACCTGTAAAATACAAATGTATTTAAATTATAAAATAGAGTCCAAAGTAATATTTTTAAAAATAATTAAACAGACATTTATCAGGCATTTTATTAACAGAAATTATACAATTATTTCCGAAAAAATTCTTTTTAAATACTTTTTGGAATGTGTAAATAAGCATCTCTAATTCTATCTTTATTTTTTCTCTAATTTTCTCTTATACATAATTCAAATAAAAAAATTATAAATCTTAAGCAATGTTGAAATATTTATATATTTATATATATTTTTTTATTGTAACAAACTCGTATAATTATTATAAATATTTTAAAAGCTTTTTAAAATAAAATCTAAAATATATATTTTATATATGTCTCATAATTATAATAATGTAAGACAAACTACCGCGGAGATAAATACAATTACTTTCACAAGTAACAAATAATACAATCATAAGTTATAAATTTCTCACCTTATGGTTGCTTCACCTGATGCCATCCCGAGCCTGCTCCTTCCCGTTGCTGTTGTTCTGCAGCACTCGCACGATACGCGTCACTCGCGTTGTTAATTACGATTTCACGCACTTTAATTACCAGAAAACGCAGCGATTACACGACACTTTACACTCGATATTAAACATACATGACGTGTACTTTACGTCGCGATAGGAAAATAACACAAAGATTATAATAATCGCGATGAATTAATTAATTGCGTTTTCACGATATTCCCAATGCGAGGTGCATACTTAATATTGTAATAAAAGAATAATACGAAAGCTATAGTTGTACGAAACTCACGATTCACACTTTAAGAAATTTATTACGATAATACGACACAGGGAATGTTGCTCCGTACTCGCTCTCTATCACCGCGTGACTGACACGGTCACGCCAGGAACAAGGTCACGTCAACAGTAGCGCGCTGTACGCCTCAAATTCCTTTCTATTGTGTCGAATTTTACGACGCGTTTCTGTCGACACTTGGATTATATCTCGTTATCATTCGTACAGCAAGTTCGAACGAGCAAGTAGCGGACGCGTGTTACTCGGTGTATGTTCCATTATCATTATATACTTTTCGAAGTGCAGATTATAATTATTATGTAATGTGATTATAGCTGTTATTATTTAGTTTAATATTATTCTCTCGTCGCAATATAGGTAAAGCATCATGTGTGATTCGAATGATCGAAAGTGTAAAGTGTCGCGAGCGTTAATTTTGGTAATTAATGCGCACGTAGTCGTAACAAGCAGTGTTCTTGTGTGAGTGCTACAAAAGAGCAGCAAAGAGGATGAATAAGAGAAAAGAAGCAGGTCCTAGGAGGCAGCAGGCGACGGCAAAGCACTCGTGAGGTGAGTAAATCATAACTCATTTTATTATTTATTAATCATAATATTAATTGCTCTTTGTGTAATAGTAATTTATTTTACTATATTATGTCATAAAATATGTATATATATATGCTTCTATATATATACAGATTTATGTTTACGTGTAAAATATAAAATATTCTGAGATTGTTTAAGGTTTACAATTAATTAGAATATTTTCATAAAAATATAATATTTCCATAAATTAATTTAAAATTATATTTTTCTTTAGCATATAATTTTTATAACAAAGTTTATATTTTACAAGTATATTTTTATATCGTACAGGTCACACAATTTTGTTTCATATCTTACAAATATTTTTGCAGTGAGTTCCTATTTTTTATTTTAATCTTCAAATAATAAGATTTATAAAAATACACGCGCACATATAATTGTTTGGCCATTTCTACTGACCTGTTTAGTAATAGCAAATTCTTACTCAAATGTTTACTTCAACAACGCTCCAAACTTGAATAAAATAATTTTATTATACACTAAAAGTACTATAAGCTTCACGTTGTCGTCATTCGCGCCGCAAAAGCGCTTCGACGAAAAGGTGCAGACGGCTGTACGATAAGAAGGCGCTTTTTCAAGGGATAGGAAATCCGTGCCTTCGTTACATACTTATATGTATATGTATATACAGAAGATGGGAGATTCGCGCTAGCGCATACCATTATAGGTAGAATGCTGCTAGCGGGTTAGTCGTTATTAGTCGAAATGCTAGCTAGAGGTGGTTAAAGCAGGCGATTCGTATGCCAGTCGGTCCTTCCATCTCGTGAAATCGCGCGTTTCTGTCAGTCACAATGGCCAAGCGAGATTGCTCCCCCCAGGAGAGCACGATGCCGCCTAATCAGAAATTAAATCTTAACCTTAATTCCTCCTGAAAACGGGCGAGCTCATGCTAAAAGAATTCTCGATCGATCTCGTCCAGAACCACGAGGATCGCGAAACGGTTTTCTCTTCTCTTGAAATTTCTTCGCGCAAACTTAGACTTGAGACACTTTGTGACTTTGAGTTTTCATCGAATCAAGAGAGGTACGGAAAAAAATATAATAATAATAGTTATCAGCGCAATAAATCTATATATATACATATATTTTATGAATTTTAATTTTTTTATGAGTTTTAAATTAACACAATCTAAATATCCATTGTATAAATTTCAATTCTTACGTGCCTGTGTCAATCTTCTTCTGAATTTATATTACGCGTTCTCTATTTTTTTGCGCAACATTTCAATTTAATTTAATTTGATAGCATTCATAAAGATTATCAAAATCTTAAAGACTTTAATTATTTAGTTCAATATTTTCTAAATTCTTTAGAGAATATTATAAATTCCATGTCGACTCTTGTGAATATTTTCTTGCACGATTTTACTTTATAAACAATAAAATTAAGAGTCGATAACGGGACTATCGATATGTTACAAGTAGCTTACGCACATACTATTGGAGCTTAATAAAATTCCTGGTTCTCTTCTGCAAAGAACCTTCAAGTATATCGTACAAAGCTTAACATTCCAAAATCTGTTTTCGTATGGTCGGCGATGTTTCGAACACACGGCCGCGTCGGTCGAGTTGATTTCGCGAAACTCGCGAGCGGGTGCTCAAGTTATTGGTAATCCGCGCAAGAGGATTCACATTCGATTTTATTTCACAGTTTCCTTTATGCGAAAGACGTAGGATTTCTATTAGCTTTGTGCCCTGGTTAGATTGAATAGCCGCAGGCTTCCACGGGCATACGTTCGCGACTGTTTCATTTACAAATGTATTTCCCTCTCAGAAACTTTCAATTTAGCCGGATGCTTCCTGCGATGGCAGGGAATGCGTAACCGGGGGCCCTTTCATACACGCGATTCATCTCTGCTTAGAAGGTAGAAACATTCCCTTTCCAAAAACAAATCGAAACGACAGACGAATTGCTTTCCGCGATCAGCCGTCTCGCGTATTGCGATTACGAGTAGATTCGGTTGTGGTCAGGCAATAATGTGCGTACGAAATACTTTGATATGGACAATTTTATTGGATCGTTTCATGAATATTTTTACGCGTCACAAGACAATACGAACGTTTAAAAAAATTAAAAATAAATTAAAAAGGATTGTAATATTTGTTGGTTATTTCATAATCACAATTAATAAAATACGATTACCGCATTCGTATGATCAAATTTTGAAACGAATGAAAATTTAATCCATCTTCTATTGCTCTATATTTGAGAGAAATTTATATCTTTATAGCTATACAAGAATATAACTTGGCAAACTTTGACCACGCACACAAACGAAGTTTCAGATTTTCCTTGTAAAAATAACGGCTTTAAAGCAAACCATGCATTAAGGAAGCGCGATAAATCGAATGGACAAAGTTTATGAATGCATACTTGCGTTTCGACCAAGTTCGCTATCTGATTCACCCAATGTACGCCTTCGAGAGACGCCGCGAAAAAAGTTCGCGGACGAGAGAGTTTTACGAGAGCCCGGCGCCGAGTTTCGTTGAAAACTACGTGGCAAGTCCGTCAATTATGAAGCGACCTTTAATAATGAAAGCAACGGAAGGAGTTCCCTCGGGCGGCATCACCATCTTTCATGCTTACTGTTTAACAGCTGAGCGTCTGCAGGCCGTTTTGACTACCGCGGTACCAACCAACCCCCTATGCCCTATTTGCCCCTTGCCGCCTGTACACCTTCCCGGACACTTTCAGCTCACATCGACCCTTTCTTTGCATTAACCCATTCCTGTCTCGCCATTTTCGCGATGCTAGGTGCCTGCGTTCTGCATCGCCGTCGCGAATCTGACGTGAAATGTCGCCACATTTTTACACATAAAAAAAATTAAAATGTTGAAATCAGAAAATATAAATCCAACTAATCTTCTAAAAAAGATGATAGCTAAATAACATAAAATAATAAGTCGACAAATAAGAATTTTAGAATTTAAAACGGAAAATTTGCACGTTTTTTAGCGTCAAAATTTGTTTAAAATCAAACTAATTATAGTAATGAACTACATATCGCAGATTTTTATTTGTATTTTTCTTCTTATACCACGTGAAGATTTTTTGATAATATATTGCTGCTTGTGCGGTACTCTTTACAATTTCTTCGCTTCCAGACGCGAGCTCTCCTTTCATGAAAAATGAAAATCAAGCATGTCGGCGAAATATTCGCAAATACAGACATGGGTGCGCGCGTGATGGTCGACACGGAGCTTTTTTCCAGCTGCCTGTTTTCGTAAATCCTCGTTTAATGTTCTCCTCAGCTCGCGACGACACTCGAAACAGTCATGTGGAATGCGTGGCTTCTCGCGACGTCATTATGGGGTAAACTTGGGCAACCATTCACGCAACCGAAAAATTTACCGTGCGTAAAAAGGGAAAAATTATATAACATCTTACGAGATACATCCTCGCTAAGAAAGCAGTTAAAAGCAAATGATATATTTTGCTGCCAAGGTGGAAAAGAAGAATAGTCTCTTAAATATTTTATTATTTAATTGAATTTAAGCGTAATTTAATTAATTTATAATTTAAAATTAGAGTATTTTTTTCCTTTAATTAATTTGTCCTTTGAGAAAAATGATTGCTCAACATTCTCTAAAAAGTTAACTATTATAACTTTTAACATTTAAAAAGAAAAAGTTTGCATTACATTTATCCGAAAAAAATATTTAAATATCACACGAAAAATAATTAAAAAACGCTTTTAAACAACAGCTTAAAATTTATGTACGAAATCTTCATATTCAAGGCTCGGGCGGATTTTGATGACGATGACCGAAAGTAAGAGCCCCGGAGTAAAGTAAAGTCTCAAAATCCGCTCCCTTTCACACGGGAACGTTCAATCTCTCCACGAGTATAAACGCAGGGAGAGGAAGCTGCGGGACGTTTAATTATTTGCGCTATCACGCCAAAGACGGACGATAATCAGATATCGGCAGGGAGCGTCGCGCGCAAATAACTCCGCTTGCGCGCAAACTCATCCCGAGCCATGGGTGCCCGCCCATCCCCTCGCGTCCACAGTCGCTCCGCTAGCTCTGGCACACATACATACATACATACATATATATATATATATATATATATATATATGTATATATATATATCAAGTCAATAATTAACACCAGTTACAACTTGTGGGAATAGTAACGGCGTTTATGCTCCCGGGGACGTCGTATTTCAGGGAAATGTGCTCGTGCCGTCGTGCTGTACCGGTCCGTAGGAGCACCACGAGGATTTGTCGCTTAGCGGAGGAGGTGGGTGGCAGAAGGGGGTGCGAGTTGGAGGCGTCGGTGGTTGTTCGGAAACACAGAGAGGCACTGTTCTCTCTTTCTCGCTCTCGCGGTGCAGCGGGACGGAA